GGCTGCCAAAAGCTTCCCGGAGCAGGCCATGGCTTTGACTGAGCTCCCTCAAAGCCTCCAAAGTGCACAGATGTAGAAGCACAAAACCCTTAATAACAACTGGTCGTCCTAGAAAGTCTTCTGTTTTGTTCGTCCAAAGAAGCCCCCTTTTTCACTGGACCCAGGACAAACAGGACACCATGGCACGCCAAACCGAGCATCGCTCTTTCCCCCTAAGTGGCGAAGAGGATATTAATTAGAGGGAAGGAGCCGGCAGGCTGTGATGTGAAGGCACGTTCTCTCCCAGCATGTCCTTCAGCCTTTGTTTTGTGTCTATATTGCCAATATGCGAGGATTTTGTACAGAGCAAAAAGCAGTGATCCTAAATATTGACGCTGGGACAAATCAATGCTATCTCCGTTTTCCATGCCTATGCGTTCATTGATTTTTTTTTGTTGTTGTTACCTCTCTGTTTATGTAATGTCTGAACTTTGCACAACTGAACCGTTTAATGTGCAGAAAAGAGCCCTGTTGCCATGAAAACGGACCTCCAAATGACAGCATGAATGCTGAGATATCCCTGTTTTATTGGACCATACTGAATGTATTTTAACCTTGATAAGTCAATAACTTTTCGTACAAAAGGAGCCAAAGCTGATAGGCTTTCAGAGGCTTGAATGCATTTAAACTGGAGAGTAATGGCCTGGTTTTAATCCCCTAGAAATCTCTCTCATTCCAAGGGCCAGTCATTTTCAGAGCAGAGTGACATTTTGGTCAAAGAATTACAGCACATAGTTGTCACCATGAGAGATGAAAATGCTCAGTACTTTGGATTTCCTGCACCAGTCAAAAATAATTATGTTAAATTAAGGGAATGTTGTCATCTTAAAGATCACGGGCCAGACGCTACTCTCTGCTGAAATCCAGCGTAATTCTGATTTAGCTGCAGAATCAGGGTCAGAATCCAGCTGCATGTATTTAAAAATTGGGGGGGTTGGATTCATAGCTTTTGCAATTGAGTTGCTTCTGCTTATACCAGGTGAGGGCTGAGGCACCTTGCTATGGCTGTAGAGAAAGGGGTCATTGGGTCCAACTCAGCCACCCTGGGGTCAATTGTGCCACCTCGTCCACCACGGGGTCCTGCTCTAGACTTGTCTTGAATGCTGCCCGCAGTCAGCCCAGCTATAGTTGAATATCTTCCCTTCAGTCCGAGGAGTCAAAGATGACCAGAGATATCATGCCTTTGGCTATAAAACCTGGAGTACCTTTAATCATGCTAGCCTGGTCACTTTGCATTGACCTCTTGACTACCCAAAATCCATACCGTATTTATTTGACTAAAGCTAAAATCTTTGGCTTTCCCCACCAATGGCTTCCTGCCTTATTTTGTGTTTTTTTTAAATCTTTTTGCAATTCACTCTGTTTGGATGCTGAAACTAAATTATTCAATTTCTCCTTGTGGTTCTCATTCATTTACAGCATAATGTTCTGTTGGGTTGTTTCCAGCACTGTTGGGCAATAATTCGGTCCAGAAAAAAGTGTTAATTGGTTCTTTAAATCATGAAACATTTCTCTTCTGTAAAAACATTTTTATTATAAACCTAAATTTCTATGTCAAAACTGCTGGAGGGTGTCTCGGTCAAGAATAATACAGAGTTTAAAATGTTCACCTTTTTGTAGCTAGGTAATTCAAGATAGATTTCTTCTCAGCAAAAATGCTATAGCCCTTTCCAGGTCCAATACATGACTCCAGGTAGTTAAGGCATTTTCTGAGAAGAATGAGGTTTTCTTTTTTGCACTAGATATAAAGAGCTTGTTCTTTCTTACTTTATTAATAACCTTGATTAAATTATCTTTGAACAATCTAAGTGCTGTTCGCAAATATATAATGGTTTTATTTTAATCTCTAGCCCAGATTGCAACATAAAAGGAAGATAAATAAGCAATAGAGGATTTATAAAGCTATAATACTGTACAAAAACCTACCCCCTGTGCTTTGAAAAAAAAAGAATAAAAGAAAAGGGAAAAAAATGAAACAAATGACTATCATGAATAGCCCAGCTCAAAGAGATAATTTATTCAATATAATGTATTTTCATGGGGAGGATAATAAAGATAATATGTGTAATAATTACAGACAGGAATCACTTTCATGAAAGCATATCTTATCTATTGTTTTAACATAATTTTTCAAACTTCAATGTTAACTGGATAGGAACAAGTGACGGGAGAATTGCCAGAGGCATGGAGATTTGACTCCTGACAAAAAGCACCCACAATCCCAGCTCTTCTTCCCACCTGTTGTTAATCCCTTGAAATATGCAGTACTGAAGTGGGCTTCTCTGGGGGGGAAAGAAAAGAGGTAGGCTGACAGTGAGAACAAGCCTGGATAGTTGGAAGTCTCTGACAATGCAAGAAAACTATAGTCCCGGTGAAACTGAAAAATCACAGAAAATCAGAGAACACCACCTAATATACGTAGTCCACAACCCCAAGGTACTGGTTGAGTTTGGGTGGTGGCTTAGATTGGGGAACCTTGAATGGGTCTGACTATGTTTGCATGCATCCACGAAGGTGAATAAGGAGCATGATGGCAGAAGGAATTCTCTGGTGACAAACACATGGCAATGCCCATTGGGAGCCATAATTTAAATTGTACGTCCATACAATGAACTTTAAATAACTGGTGAGGAAGAAGCCCTGGACCACTGAATATGCAAGGGTGGTCAGCAAGGAAAGCATTCAGCGAGTTATAAAAATAGGACAAACGCAGGAGGTATTATAATGCTGTAAACCAATGGCACGCTGTCACTTGCAATATTGCATTCAGATCCAGCCACCCTGGCTCCAAAAGGATACATGAAAAGTGCCAGAGACCGGTGACAAAGCTTAATAGAGGCCCCGAGAAATTGCTGGGCGAGGAGAGATTGAAAAGATGGGAGTGTTTAGTTCGGAGAGGAGAGAAGTGAAAGGTAACATGGCAGAGGGGGGTGTAATGATGAGGGATGGAGAGGAAGTCTGATTCTCCTTCTTGCCCTGGGATAGCACACAGGCAGGGGCAGATTTGGGGAGGACAGAGGGGTGCATTAGTGCACGTGCACCCCGTTTGATGCTCACTCCGCTCAAAGTTTAAACCCAAGTATCTGGCAGTGGCAGCGGCATTTCTAGTCAGGCAGCGCTGAGGGAATCAGCACTGATTGTGGCTCGTTCTCATTTGCCTTCTAAACTCTTCATTGCACAGGTGTGAAAGACCCTCTCTTCTTCCTTTCAATGATGTCGATGTCGCACTAATCAAGTGAGCTTTTGTTCTGCAATGCTGCTGTCCGTTCGCTCCTTTCAGAGCCCCGCAGGCCCTTTTTAATGCCTGCAGGTGGAGCTCTATTGGCTATTGGCTTTTCTGCCATCTTACTGAATAATCCAGCCCATGGCATATTAGCAATGCTTCTCATTTCTTTTTCACGGGAGAGAAGGAGGTGTTCTTCGATATGTGATGATGCACCTCACTCTCTGCACCGCTCCTTTTTCAAATTTCTCGATCCGCCCCTGCACGCGGGGTCCGGATTAGGCGCGTGGCAGGACGTTTTCAGGCGTTCTCGTGGGAGCCCTGTGGACGAGCAGCCCGGAGGCTAGGGAGGCCATTTTGACGCGCTGAGGCTAGGGCGGCTATCATAGAGGACGGTCCGGTTGTCCCCATCCTCTCTTGACATGAGACCTGACACCTTTACGTCCTCTGTTTTTCTCTTGAAAAGAAGACAACATTTTTCTCTTCTCTTGAAGAGAAACTATAGAGGACAGAAAGGCGTTGGGTTTCATATCAACAGCGGAGCAAAAAACCTGCCTGTCCTCTATGATGGCTGCCCTAGCTGAGGGCCTAAATTATATCCAGTATGCTCAAACTAATGGATTTGCATGAAATTTTAAGATGAATTATTTCTGCACACATTTATGACCTCCAGATGAATAATACCTGTGGAGCCCTAAATATGTCTATTTTGAGAATGAAAACATCCAGTTTGGGGGGTTTTCCCTTATTGAGAGGCCCTTCATACTATAGCTCAAGCCTCCCTCAAGGGGTCCTAAAGTCTCAACACACACTGCCCCTAAAAGAGTGCGGACTACAACTCCCAGCATGCCCCGCGGCGCGGGCGCCGGGCGGGCTACGGGGGC